CTTGGGAGCTGCACTTTATAGATCAGATAAAGTTTCTCCCTGTTTTTTCTCTCTCTTTAGATGGCAGTACATCAAAACCTTTTCATAGATTAGTGACACACTCTTGGGACACAGAGGCCAACCTTGCAGTGGCTAGCCAGTTTTCAGGCTGGCAGATGATATGGCTATTTTTCTTTTCTTTTTTCTGCTCAACATTCATATCTCTCTCCAAAGTGAACAGGAAAGTTCAGAAGGTGCACCCAGTAAATATTACAACTTACATGCATCTTCTCACTTTGTTCTTTACATTTCATGGTTGATTTTTGTACTCATCAAGAGATAGCAACTCTGCTGGAAAAATTCAGACAAATCCCACCCCAGTTTCCTTCCACTTTCTTCTCAGTCTGCATTTGAGGACCAGAACTGACTTAAAGGCAACGATAGCATTTTCAAAGGATAATTGTTTCCACATTAAGAAGTGCTGGTTCACTGAATTATAGATTGCTGAAGAAACATAAGATTCTGCTTATTAAATGTATGTGTGCATATTAAAAAATGATGGCATGTAGAAATTACATTTGCAATTTCTAAAGACTGTTTTGAGTAAGGGATTACTTATTGGAATATATGAGAAGTATGTATTTTTATTTACTGCTATTTCTATGCTGCTTAATCTAAACAAGGTTCTAAGCCACTTACAATTTAGTGCACACAGGAAAATAAAAAATGATAAATCAAATGGTAAAAATGGACCAATAACATCCAAACTCATATTAGATAGTGATGTCACTGTTTTGTGGAAGTTGTTCTGAATGACGGTCATCTATTGCTCTCTATCTCAATTCCTATCCTCCACATAGTCTTTTTTTTTTTTTTGCACAATACATTAAGAACATACAAGAATAGTGAAATAAATCTGTAAAGCTCTTCAGTGTCTGCCTAAAACTGAAAGAACTCTTCCAAGTAAAATTCTCACAAAGTTCTCATTAGCAAGGTTTATTAAGATGAAAGGGATTGGGTTCCAAGATTTCAGCAACTAAACTATTTTTGACTTAGAATCCATTTATCCCCTAATATATTTGGGCAGAGGCTTTCTTGGTTTCTTTATAATGACTTCCCTATCAACCAGCAAGGAAGTAGTTATTTTCACCGATAATAGAGAAACAGAGAAGTGGTTGTGAATCTGTGAACTGACCATCACAGTAATTTGTTTTCCAAGCACGATTCTCATAAAGTTCTCTTTAGCAAGATTTATTGAAATGTATGGGATGGAATTACAAGGATACCAACAACTGAACTGTTTCCCATCTATCACCAATATATCCTAAAGTACATTAGAGCAGAGATTTCTCGTTTTCTTTCTTACTGATTTTCTGTGGAGCAGCAAACTGGCAGGTCTCTCCACTAATAACAAAGGAGCTATAGATGCAAGTTCATAAAAGCATTTCCCAAATCTTTGTTAGTCTGGAAACTGGCCATTACGATGAGTTATCCTCTAAACTGGGCTGAAGAGACCTATTGAATTTGCTGCTAAATAAGAAGCAGAAAACAATCTGGAGAACTCTCAAGGAGTTAAAGTGAAACAATCTTGTTTATATGTTGTTCCAACAACCAGCAAACTCATAACTGAACCTTAAGTTGGGCTTGTGATGTTAGCTACAGTTCTGTACTTCTAAAGTGAACCATATGTTCTTAAAGCAAACATTTGGGGCTATGTCCAACAAGGTGACTGTCCTGTGGTAGTGGTTTCTGGACATAGGAAGCTAGTCCTATTTTTGCCAAAAAAAGGTGAAATCCATGCTTTAGAAGAGGAATCCCCTTCTTGATCTAAAAAATTGATTCCAGTATAATTATTTTCTTTTTTTGCGGAGGCAGAATTAGGCTATGGATGATGCCCTTGGACCTGTATCTAGATCAGCTGTATATAAAGCTTAAACTTTGATTTCTAGCTGTTTTTTTTTTAAGAATTTACTTTGACAATGTAACAAGAAAAGCAGACATAGGGTTCTTAAGTAGTCCTGGCCTGGGAAAAGGGATTTTTTTTCCCTCCTGAGTCTGTATTTCAGCAATGCCAATGTGGCCAGAGGAATGGATGCAATTTTTTACAGTTATCGTTATCCTACACCACTAGCACAACAAAAGGTCTTTGCATCCAGTTATTTGTCTTCTCTGGTTTCTAAAAAATGGGGATTTTTTCTAATTTTACTGAATAATACTGTAATGGTGTGTGGGAAAGACCTTGGGAGACTGGGCGAAGAGACCCTGCCAAGGGAAGGGTCAGATAAGAGACAGCATAGCCCTCAGCTGCATAGTGGGTGGAACAAGAGTCTCAGAAGAGACCCTCCCTAGTTTCTTGGCCTGTAAAGGCGATGGGTGGAGGGGGGGAGAACTGTACTTTCAGACTTGGTTTCTGTCAATGTAGCTTTAAATAAAGTAGAATTAGCTCATCTGGTTGTGATTCCTATCTGGTTTACCCTGTGAGGCTGTCGTCAATCTTGCAAGTCTCATACTCTCTTCCAAAGAGAGGGATTTCAAGAATGACCTCTGTTCCTCAAGGACCCCCCCACTATCCAGCTGCAGTCTTATCTGACCATTCCCTTGGCAGAGTCTCTTTGCCTAGTCTCCCAAGGTCTTTCCAACATACCATTACAAATACTGTAATCTGGAATGTTGTATATGCAGAGCTTGTCCTCTGGTATAATAAATAGAACATATGGGCCAGAATGAAAGTTAGTTAAAGGGATCAGGCTAGAAACTGGGAGACTGTGAATTCTAGTCCTGCCTTAGGCATGAAGCCAGCTGGGTGACCTTGGGCCAATCACTCTCTCTCAGCCCAGGAAGGAGGCAAAGGCAAACCACTTTCAAAAAATTTGCCAAGAAAACTGCAGGGACCTGTCCAGGAGGCTGCCAGAAGGCAAGACTGACTTGAACACACACACACACACACACACACAGAGCCCAGAATAGAGATAGAAATATATATTCTCTTCCATGCCGGAATTCACAATATCATACATTACAGAGGCATTTTGATAGAGCACTGAAACAATCTTAGCAGAATATGCCCTGCTAAAAATATATCCAAGTTCCAACATGCTTCCAGACATAACAGTTCTTATTTTTATTTGGTAGAAAAAAACATGTTCTTTATTCACTTTTAGCC